CGAGCAAATGGGAGGCGACGATGTGAAGCGCTACGAGAAGCCCGAGGGCACTTCCAACCTCCTCAAGGAGCTGACGGGCGACAAGAAGAAGTTCTACGCGGGCAAGGTGGACTTGGACTACAGGAGCAAGGGCTACAAGATGGAGGAGTACAAGACCGAGCGTGAGCTGCAGTCCAAGGTCAAGAAGTGAGGAGTAGTTTTTCACAACAACGACCACTAGCTGCTCGCCTGTGGCCACGAGCAGACAAACATGTTGGAGTCTTTCCACGCTTAGCGCCATTTGTTGTTATTTTGAGCTTCATGGGCCTGAGTAAGTACAGTTATAAGTACCTTAATCGAGGTTACAAGTAATTATAAGTATAGTTGCCTTATTTATAACCCTAGGTACTAAGTCCCGTGAGCCTTTAAGTATGTATATTGAATTACTGGCATGCATGATCGCAGACTACATCATGAGATGACATGAGATTAGTTTCTAGGGTTTAGGGTTGAATTATTCTATAGGTGTCCCTTCAAGGGTTCAGGCAAGTCGGGTTCAGCATCTGGTTTTGGGGGACGTCAATTTGCGCGGGAGGGTTTTAGGGTGCTGCCTCAGAAAACCGTATAACACCTGCGAACACCACCATTATTGGAATTGTTTGGGACATGAAAGACGCGGCCTCAACCCTGAACGCCACTCCCCAGCGGGATGGGCTGAAGACACAAAGACACCTAAGCAGGGCTAAACCCGCCTAGACAGATCCAAGCCCGTCAAGTCTAAACCACCGATTCAGGCTTGGCTTTGGCTTTGGTCACTAGTGTTAATTATTAAGTTTGCATTTCTGTACATTACTATACTTTTGTATTCTACTAGTATAACTGCTGTTGTCATTGTGATTATGCAGCTCTTTACGTTTCCTGTAGCTGCTTCATCTGCAACCTGAATTCATGTAAACGAGAACCTTCAATGTCGATCCGCAACAACAGTAGCACATACGTTAGTACTAATATGGCATGGTTATGGCTCCTATGAGAACTTAGTAGCTTAGCTGAATGGCTGCACTTTAAATTCAACTTTTTGGGATAATACAATCAAGACCCACTGAAAGTGTACATTCAATCTGGGCTTATGAATTCAGAAACTAAGAGAAGTTTAGTAGAATAGACCCTAGAACCCTATTCTGACTGTTAAGGCCCCTATATTTGGACTTCAGGGCGTTATGCTCGTCGAGGGTTCAGGGGGCTTTGGTACCGAAAGGTTTATGGGACTCAGTAACTGGGCTATAAACGAGATAGCTATACTTATAATTACTTGTAACCCCAATTAAGGTACTTATAACTGTACGTATTAAGTCCCATGAACCTCGACGTAGGCATGCTTCCAAGGAAAGTGCAGCTTTGCCCTCTCGGTGCACCTTCCGTCGCAAGCCACTGTCGCGAGTTTGCCTTTGCACCCTCGCCTTGCTCCGCCATGGCTCTCCGCCTTCTGGCCGCCGTCTTCCTGGGCGCTGCCGCATGGCAGTGCGCCTTCGTGACCTCCGGTGCCGGGCCAACCCGCTCTCCTCAGGTGAGCATGCACGCAGCAGCTGGCCAATCCCAGGCCGCTGAGCAGGAGAACGGCCTGTCCCCTGTGGTGTCCATCGGCATCGGTGCCATCGTTGGTCTGCTGGTGGCCGCGGCCCCAGCATTGGCCCAGAGTGCCCAGGGCTACGAGCAAATGGGAGGCGACGATGTGAGGCGTTACGAGAAGCCCGAGGGCACTTCCAACCTCCTCAAGGAGCTGACGGGCGACAAGCAGAAGTTCTACGCGGGCAAGGTGGACCTGGACTACAGGAGCAAGGGCTACAAGATGGAGGAGTACAAGACCGAGCGTGAGCTGCAGTCCAACCTCAAGGGTGGCAAGTGAGGAGGAGATTTTTGTCACGACACATTGCAGATGCCGCTACAAACCTACACGTGGGTAGTTCTCTAAAATAGGGTCCATTTTTGGTCCCCAAGAGAGTACGATACCCTTTTCAAAAGGACCTCGAAAGGGACCCTAATTTAGAGACTTACCCACACATCGAAACTCGCGGCCCGGCAATGAAAAAGCCGTAGTTTTTGTATTAGCCCGGTTTAGGGCTTAGGGTTTAGGGTTTAGGGTTTAGGGTTTAGGCTCCCTACGGCTTTAGGGTTTAATTACGGCTTTTGCTCCCTGCTGTTTCAATCAAAGGTGGTGGTGTTGAGTCGTGGGTTGGTCATGGTACGTAAACGTCTGGGTAATTAGGAAGATATAATCCCAATACCTCTATACTACAAGGTCCCTAGACCCTAAACCCTAAACCCTAAATCCCTAAATCCCTAAACCCTAAACCCTAAATCCCTAAATCCCTAAACCCTAAACCCTAAAAAATCCCTCATTCTAATGGTTAAGCACCCCTGCAGACTGACAGCATTCAGCTTCCGCCTCCGGGCATAGGAACTCGGGCAGTAGGGACGGTTTAGGGTTTAGGGTTTAGGGTTCTACGATTAATATAGGCGTCGGAGTTTACCTATTCCTGAGGGCTGCTTGTTACAATTGTACTCTATACAATATCCACTGCTTGTTTCTATATTCTAAAAAGAAATGTAGCCCCAAGACCAAGGATCTAAAACAGCATAGGCATTGAAGGCCACTGCCCCACACGCTAGCTTAGATAGATGTTTAGGGTTTAGGGTTTACACCACAAGATAGGACAAGCCCGGCACCGCCAAAGACTGTCAAGGAGGTCCAGTCAAGCTTGACATGCCGTAAACGCTACACCCGAATACCCTATCACCCGGAATATGGATAAAACTGGAAGGCCTGGATTGGGTTTGCCACACAGCGCCTTCGCTCTGCCTTCGAGTCTGGATTGAATCGTTTGGGGTCTGCTTGGAGGGTCAGGGGAGTTCGCAAGTGGACTTATAAGTATTGGGATTATGATACTTACAAGTACCCTAAAGAGGGTCCCACTTAGGATTATTATACTTATAAGTACCCTAAAGAGGGTCCTACTTGGGATTATGATACTTATAAGTACCTTGCTCCAAGTAGTGCGCCGGTGCTAAGATGCACAATTTGTTGCCGGCGTCCCGTGCTCCAGGTTGCGCCGCAGGGCTGCGACGTACCATTTGTTGACAGTGTCCTGTGTTTCGTGTGGCGCTCCAGCGAAGCACTGTAGTTTCCGCCTTCTCACAGCAGTTGAAGCCTGACAGAGTAGCTTTGTGTTGCCATGGGGTTACGGCGTGAGTTCTGCAACAACTGCATGCAGTCATGTCGTTTGTTGTTGATTCATTATACACAGTGCTAACTTTATGTCAACGTTGTGCTGTTATTTCGTTATCGTTGTTTGGTTTCCTTGGCGTCGTTCATGCTTTCGTTTACGCTTCATTCGCTTCATGGTTGTTATTTAGATCCTGCTTTCCTGTAACCGCCTCCGAGGAGGATTCTAGGGCATCTGAAGGGGTTGGGGGGTTTAGTTTAGCTCTTCGTCTAAATGATTCGTTTTTCTCCCCTTATACGATAATACTCCCCTAAACATACCCTGAGCATCGAGGCCTCATTGCTAGTGTGCTAGGAGAAGGTCTCTACCCAGACCCCCGGACGGGTCTAGAAAGTAGAACCCCTAATTTGGGACCCCATACTACTAAGGGCTCTTTCTAGGAACCCCCATTAAGGGATCTACTTTTTGGATCCTCCTGGGGGTCTGGGTAGAAGCTCAGGATTTCGTTACATTGAATGTTGTGCACACAGGCCTGGTGTTCCTTATGCGATGCACATGTTTGCATTTCGACGGAGCTTTTTTGCACAGGTCACAATCACGTGCTGGACTGGTTCCCTCGCATTGCTCCTGCTCCGCCATGGCTCTCCGCGTGCTGGCCGCCGTCTTGCTGGGCGCTGCCGCGTGGCAGTGCGCCTTCGTGACCTCCGGTGCCGCACCTACCCGCTCTCCTCAGGTGAGCATGCACGCGGCAGCTGGCCAATCCCAGGCCGCTGAGCAGGAGGACGGCCTGTCCCCTGTGGTGTCCATCGGCATCGGTGCCATCGTTGGTCTGCTGGTGGCCGCGGCCCCAGCACTGGCCGTGAGCGCCCAGGGCTACGAGCAAATGGGAGGCGACGATGTGANNAGCGTGAGCTGAAGGTGAAGCTTCAGAGCGGCAAGTGAGCGAACGAGTGCAGTGGGACGTAGCTCTCCGCTGGCATGGGTTTTGTGGCAAAAGGCAGGTGGCCTGGAGATAACTAGCAGTACCTACACCAGAAACCGAGTTCGACCATCACGGTTTGCGGTTGCATGATTTTTGCTGGTTGACAGGTGTCCCAAGCGAGTGTCAAACCCGCAGAAAACTGCTACCCGCAGGAACAGCCGTCTCGTGAGTAAATTTTGTTTTGATGAGCCCATCGGGGCCCTGCATATGAACCCTAAGCATGTTGATCAGCTAACCAGGGTCGTTCTGTTTTTGTCACCAGTCATGGACCGATCATGATTTCGAGCAACCGAATCCCAAGATGTTCCTTCCAGAACTACGCTGTTAACATACCCTGAAACCCTGTTCCAATCAAAAGACCCCTACATTCCAACCAAGATGGCCTGAGACTACATCGATCATGAAAGAGCAAAGACTTAGCAAGTGCGCTTGGTTTAGGGCTTTAGAGAGCTTAGGCGCAAGTAGGATATTGCATGGGATATGAGGACCCTAATCGCGTGTTTACCTGTAGCCCGGCCCCAATCACAACCTATTTACTAGGCACCCTGGTCGCCCTGATCTTGTAAGTGGGGAGTTGTCAAAATTATGGTCCCGTTTGGGGTACCCTAAATAATAGGTGCCGTATTATAATAGGACCCAAAGAGGGACCATAATTTTGACAACCACCCAAGTATTGTTCGAACTATATGTCCAGTCAACATCTTGCTACGAGGACCTTGTTCTAAACCCTGCACCACAAACTTCCTAAGCTTTCATAAACCTTATAACTCCTAAACCCAGAACCCACCCTCAAACAAAGACACTCTTCCGGCCGCCTGGTTGCCATGAAGACTGGTTTCAAGAAACTGATAGCGTCTGGAAGATCTGGGGGACACAGGGCCTTAGGGTTTAGATTTTAGGGCTTCATATAGGGGCCTAAATAATTGCCAATGTTATTTTGAGGGTTCCTTATTATGATCATAGTAGAATGGGCCCCAAACCCTATTCCAATTATTAAGGCCCCTACATTACTCAAAGGTTTCGTTTAGGGTTTGGGGTTTAGGTTCGCGAATGTAGGCGAACTGCTACTTGCAAGCCCGTCTATGAGGGGTCCCTGTTCCTACTGATCTTTATTCCCCATTGTGAGGTCCCTGATCAGTCACATGTACATAGTAAAGTATGTTACAGTCTATAGTGCATTAGAGTGACTCTAGTACAAGTAGTTATAGTACCATCATGATATGGTGTCAGTCTTAGCTTGAACAGCTCGGGGTTCAGGGTTAAGGGCCTAAGGTTAAGACTTTTATACGGAAGTGGGACTAAACTGCTGAAGTGCTTCAAGCACGCCTGCACGTCTTGCCTCAGCTTTTTAAAGGCTGCTGGCTTGCACCTCCCTCGCCTTGCTCCGCCATGGCTCTCCGCGTGCTGGCCGCTGTCTTCCTGTGTGCTGCCGCATGGCAGTGTGCCTTCGTGACCTCCGGTGCCGGGCCAACCCGCTCTCCTCAGGTGAGCATGCACGCGGCAGCTGGCCAATCCCAGGCCGCTGAGCAGGAGAACGGCCTGTCCCCTGTGGTGTCCATCGGCATCGGTGCCATCGTTGGTCTGCTGGTGGCCGCGGCCCCAGCACTGGCCGTGAGCGCCCAGGGCTACGAGCAAATGGGAGGCGACGATGTGAGGCGCTACGAGAAGCCCGAGGGCACTTCCGGCCTCCTCAAGGAGCTGACGGGCGACAAGCAGAAGTTCTACGCGGGCAAGGTGGACCTGGACTACAGGAGCAAGGGCTACAAGATGGAGGAGTACAAGACCGAGCGTGAGCTGAAGGTGAAGCTTCAGGGCGGCAAGTGAGCTTGTTCTGCTGTTCCCACACTTTTTGTGTACGGCTCTATTGTGGCCTCTGCTTCCTGTGAAGCATCCCAAAAGCTGGCGAACTACTTGGAGTATGGCAGCAGCCAAAATGCGCAGAACTCCAGGGTGGTTGCTGCAAGTTTGCTCCCTCCCCAAGCCCTGCTTTGAGGTGTCAAGACATGCAAGTAGTACTGCAAGTAGCACACCCCCTTCAACCCCAGACGGCCCTAAACCCTAAACTCAAACCCTAAATTGTGTGAAGATGTTCTAGAGTCTGTGTGGGACCTAGCTCAGGTTGTCGGACCTCAGCCGCTGGGGTTTCCTTAGGTCCGGGTTAGCTTTATGAAGGGGCTTTACGTGCCCTAAACCCTACCTGTAGCCGAAAAAACCTACCTTGTTAGGGTTCCTCACTATGGTTTCTATATATAGTTCCTTAAACAGGTGGGGGTTTGCGGGCCACAGGTACAGTAAAGCCTAAACCCTAAACCCTTTAAGAAGGGGCTCTACATGCGATGATGAGGTTTCCCGGGTTTCCAGAGGCCTGGAAAAGCCATTGGGGCCTACTTAAAGATTCGTAGCCCTTATAGAGCCCTTTAAGGGAACCCTTAACAGGAACAGTATATATTCAGATTGACGAACATTCCTCATAGTGTTTTTGTCGGTACGTACTTACAGGAACCCTTAGCCAGAACCCTGTATAATTGGGGTATGGCTAAACAGTAATATAGGGGCCTAAATAATTACCCATACTTTGGGGCCTTGTTATTGTTATAGTATAATATACCCCACAACCCTATTCTAATCATTAAGGATTGACACTACCCGATCGTACCAATGTGGGATTTGTGAGTTGCATGGAGAGTCGTAAGTTACATGACTGCACGTGCAGGTTGATTGCCCCGCTTACCAGGAACCCTAAAACCCTAAACCCTAAAAAAAAGTTAAACCCTATCACCTTCAGGTAGGGGCTGTCAGCAGTCGCATTTGCAGTTCAGGTCTGTGGCGTCGGCTTTCGTCGTAGGTGTGCGATCTAAGTTTGAAGCACCTGGTGTTTTCCTGAACCCTAAAACCCTACACCCCTAAA